ATACATCAAGATTCCACTGAACCGAGCGTTCTTGGAAGCATACGAAAAATATTTCAAAGTACTTGCGTTGAGTAGGTTCATTCTTATTTTTATTATTTATTTAAATTAATCACCTCATAATGTCATTATTTCAGATACCGGTGGAAACAAAGATATTGATTTTTAAAATCCAACGAAATTACCAAAAACTGGCAAATAAGCAATTTCTAATTTCTCCTAAAACACCAGCTGATGTTCAAGATGAAGTAACTTTGAAAAATTTGGGTATACAAAACATACCGGCGATGATGCCTCAACATTTTTAAGATATGCTGTGATGCAAAAGACTTTGCCTATTGTTTGTTTTGTTCTGACAAAAAATATATCTAATGAAAGAAAATATTCCTTCAAATGTAGAGAGAAAATACTGGTTGATGCAACATTTTCTGTTTACCTATTGGTAGCTTCAAACAGCTTTTAATTATTCATATTGAATATTTTGAAACGGTATGTTGATAATAATATTCAATTTGATAAATTATAAATATTTTTTTTGTTTTCCTCAGGTGTTCCTGCTATATTTGTTCTTATGAACAAGAAAACAAAAAAAGTTACGAACATGTGGTTAACTATATTAATACTAATGTGGTAAAATTAGACGAGAGCGGTGTTTATGGCGGATTTTGAAATTGGATTGCGTAGTGCTATAAAAAAAATTTGAATATTCTAAGCTATTCGGGTGCTGGTTTCACTATTGTCAAGCAGTACGAAGAAATATTGCTACAAAACACAAGAATCTGGCGGAATTTATTAGGCAAAACCGAAAAGCATCTATATCTTACACAAAATATTGTCACTCCCATTATTACCGGAGACACACATTGTTAATTGCTTTTCCATCATCAAAGAAGAAATTGCCACTTTCGACCACTTGTTTAAATTTGAATCTTTTTAAAATACTTTGAAGAGCAATGGCTAAAAAAAGTAAGTTGTTTTAAATCGCAAAAGTAGGGAATTAGAATTGGTTATCAAGCGGTGGTGCTTTAGGGAAATCAAAAAGAAAAACAAAGGAAAACGTTATGAGAGCAAATCTAATTGCTAAAGCGGAGACGGACTGCTTAATGGACTCATAACCGCTACGAGTTTGTTGGATATAATGGTCTTCTCTAGAAACAAAATAGTAACTGATATGGAGCCTTTTGAAGACATATTCGAAGGTTTAGAATATATGGAGAAGAATCTGAAGTCGAAGAAGAATCCAATGCCACGGAAGAAGGTGCAGCAAATCCTCCACTGATATGCATAATTTGTTTGAAAACAAACCTAATATTTGCTTTTGCCATGCAAACATTTAAAATTGTGCAGTGACTGCACATCTAAAATAGAAGCAGAGAGTGCGGCAAACAATTTTAATAAATTTAAATGCCCTTTTGTCGTCAAGATGTTGACGAATATTTACATATTTTTATTTAATTATTTTCTTTTTCTCACATTTTCAATATTTCATTTAATTCTTTACCATTTCTTATTAAATATTACATACATATGTATAATTGAATTTTGTTAAAATTTTGATTAAAAACTTGAAGTTTAAAGCAAGCAAAATAAATTAAAAATGAAGTAAAGTGGTGCTAAAGTCATTTTCGTGGGGAGTAATTCCTTTATATTTTGTGGGGATTCTGTCATGTAAGTACACCCACGTTTGGTGGGGCTTAATTCATTTCGATTGGTGGGGATAAAATCATTTTCGTGGGGTTTAAAGCATTTTTTCGTGGGGATTCCGTCATTTTTGGTGGGAAAGATTCACTGAGAAATTGGTGGGGCTTAAGTCATTTTGCCTGGTGGGGTTTATTCATACACCCGCCGACGACAAGGGCACTGTAGTGTTGCCACTAATATGTGAAATGTAAAATTATTCAAAGCTCTAACAAGTCCAACGTTATCTTACCAACATAAGCACAAAATAGCATTGATATATAGATATTATATGCTTACAAGCAGTTATAGATGCCCATGGTGAGACAACAAAATATTAAGCTTCAAATTTTAGTGCCTTATTGAAGTTTTTATATTAAAATGCTAGTCGTACGTTGGCTTTTGTCAATCATACTTTATAGTTTTTATGAACAGTTTTATAATTATCATGGAATCCTTTTTTATAATTTCTTATACAACAAAACTGCATCATTACTTTCTCCTATAATTTTTCATTCAGCAAGACATCAAACATATGGGTCGTACGTAGATTTTTGTCGCCCACTGTATGTATCATTTGTAATAACAATTGATAATTTAAAACAAATATTTCTTGCCCAATTTCACTTTGAACAAAATATTTAAATTTCATTGAAGTGAAAGGTTTTAGTACGGCAACAACGAAATTGTGTACATCGCTGTCGCTGCCATCTGTAAAATGTTCAAGAAGTTGACTTTAAGACGACATTTGCCGACAAAAATTTCGTTGTCGTACAGTCGTCTTGATTTTCAAAACTGATATATTTTATACTAATAAGTTTAAATAATACAATATTCGCATTTATTTCGTTATATTGTATTCTTCATTCTTGTCTTCGAACGTGTGTACATACTTTTAAAGAGGCCGCTGCACATACTTATTTATTATTTTCTCTTACAGTGGCGGAATACGTGCCTGCGTACGTGAGAGTGATAGACACACTACGTGAACGGAGCATACAAACACGCATTCTATACTATTGTAATTAATTTTCATTGATCGAACTATTATTCTGCAGATTTCGCAATGCTAAACTCTCCCAAGGAGAACTCCAGAGCCACAAGCTCGAGAAAATCTGCTACGTGTTAAGAAAACAGCTAAATCAAGAGCGGACTGTAATCGAGAATACAGACTACGAAAAAAGCTTGGAGAGTTGCTCTAACCAACACCTGATTGCATGTATGCATGCTCTTCAACCAACGACAATGTACATATGTATGTATTATGAAAGACGAACCATCGCAGCAAAATGCAATCGCAAATGAAGATATTAAAATGGGCAATAGTCGCCTTCAATATCGCGAATATTT